TGTCCCCCCCCCCCCCCCACCCAACACAAGGTTCCCGACTCCTGCTTGAAACTCATCTGATAATTAGGGGTCAGGAGGCCTTCGTGGGGGGGGCAGATGACCCTACATGTGCTACTCCAGGGCTCTTGCGCCTTCCTCTGGGGCGTGTGGTGCTGGCTGGCAGGATCCAGCCCCTCCTGTCGGACAGGCCACGGGACTGGAGGGGCCGGTCCAGCCTGGCAGTGATCCGAGAAGGCTCCTGGGCGAGGAACAGCCAGGCCACGCCGGGCCAGCAGGAAGCCCCCTCCCGGTCCCGCCCTGCACGCTGCATCTCTTACTGCTGCCTCCCCGCACGGCACTTGCCTTCGGCGATGGCGCCCAGCACGAGAATCCCGGACTCCTTGATGACCCACTCGGGGTGGAAGAGCAGCCCCTTGAGCAGCGGGAGGAGATGCGGGAGGAGCTCGTCGCGGAACACGTTGGCCAGGACGTCCAGGGCTGCGGCCGAACACTTCCCTGGGGGGGAGGGCAGAGAGGTGAATGGTTTCCAAGCGGCGCTGACCCCGCCCAGGGGCCGGATGTGCTGCACGCCCAGACTGGCCCCGCCACCCTGCCTTCCTGGGCCAGGGGAGGAGGCTGCCCCAGCTTGCTACAGTGGCCGGCAGCCCGACTGCCCACCTCCCGCCGGGCAATGCCGCCCAAGCCAGACCTGAGCCCGGCCCCTCCCCGACCTACTCAGGTTCCAGTCCGACAGCGTGTCGTCGTCGTCGTCCTCGTCCTCCCCGTCCTCGTCGTCCTGTGGCCGCTCCTCCTCGTGCTGCAGGGTGACGGTGCGCGACTTGTGGAAGCGGGGCTTGATGTCCTGCTCGCTGTCTGGGATGGCCTCGTCCTCCTCCACATCGCCCTGGGCGAGAGGGCAGGGTTAGCGCCCGACCCACAGCCGCGAGGCCGTTCTCAGCCCGGGACGCCCTGGACGGCAGCCTCCAGCGACCCTCCTCCCTTCCAGGAGAGCCTCAGCCGCACCCTGACGCCTCCCCCTGCCGGCGCGACGTACCCGTGCCAGCGCCCCTCGGAGCAGAGCACTAGAGATGGCAGCACGGTCGCGGTGGCGCGGGCTAAGCACAATTCTCTCTGGGTACCTACTCAAGCGCCCAGCCCGGCCCAGCCCAGCCCAGCCCGCTGTCCACGCCAGGTGACGACACGGCTGTCCTTGGCGGGCCAGCTTGACGAGAGCAAGCGTGTGTCCATCTCCCCGAGCTGGAAATGCCACGTCTCGCTGCAGGGCAGCCGTACCCTGAGATACGGCACCTTGGAATTCCCCCAGGCCCCCACCGCACGGCTTGCGCTGCCGGAGGGCGGGAGGGCTACAAAGGCGTTTTCAGAGGGACTCGGGCGCTCGCCTGCCCTCGCACCACACTGCTCAGGCCCCCACGGCACACCAGCCACGCCGTGCACTGAGCCATGTTAACCCCCTCTCCCTCCTGGGAAAGCGTTGGCACCCACAAGAAAGCACCCTGTGCCCCAGTGCGGAGAAGCCGAGGGGTCAGCCTCACGACGATGCCTAGCATGTCCCGTGCAGATCTCAAAGCAGGGCCATGACTGCCTCGTTTTACAATGGGGAAACTGAGGCACAGAGCCAGGAAGAAACTTGCCTAAGGTGGCCCAGCATGCCAGTGGCGGAGCTGGGAACGGAATCCAGCTCTCCAGAATCCCAGGTCCCTGTGCTACTCTCCACTACAAGTCTCTGGCTTGCGACAGATTGCAAGAGGAGACACCGGGGCCCTGCTTCCAGCCACGCCTCCCTGGATCAGACAGTATGAATACAACCAGCATCATCGACGTCAGGTTGGAAATTCTGCATCACGCCCAGGAGGTCATGAAGTGGCATTTCTCCCTCCCCTTACCCTACGGCCTACAGTATTGCTAGAGATCCTCTTCCCCCCAGCTCACAGGGGACAGAAAAAGGAAGCATTGTCCCCAATGCATAAGTGGGGGAAATGTGGTGCACAGAGATTAAGTGAGAAGCCCAAGGTGACAACAGGGGGTCTGTAGCAGAGTAGAGACCCGACCCCAAGTGTCTCGGCTCCCAGAGCAGCACCTTAACTGCTAGCCCAGCCTCCCTTTAGGAAGGCTCCTATGAAACAGGGAGCTTTTCTGACAGCCGGCCCCGGGGAGCTCCGAGGAACCCTTCCATGGGCGTATAACGCAGCCTACAGACCGACGCGCTCTGCCCCAGGCACAGCGCGCCACACTTCAGCCCGAACACCTCGGTAGTTGAACCTCAGTCTGGCCTGTGGCACCTAGGAGCCCCAGTACAAAGGGACCAAGACAGTCCCTGCCCCCAGGAGCCTCCAACCTAAGCTGATCAATGCCGAGAGCCCTGCAACTCGCACAAACGCCTTCAGAAACCAGTATGGCCGGCAGGCAGGTCATCAACACACAAAGAGGGTCGCCTTCCCTTTTGCAAGCTGGGCTCAAGTTACCTAGCTCATTTTCAGCTCCCCCACCCTTCGGAGGGACAAAAGTCTCTCACACCGCACAGCACAGTTATTGTCTTTCGCAAGCGCTGGTCCCATTCTACAGCCAGGAAAGACTGAGGCAAAGAGAAAGGAAGGGACATGACCGAGGGCACCAGAGGAGACAGTGTCAGAGCTGGGAGAGGAACACGGGCATCCTGGCTGCCCCACGCGCACCCTCCCCTCTCCCTCCAGATTGACAGACACGTACCTTTAGCAATATGATATCGATTTCAGAGTATTTCATTCCATTCACCAAGATCGGAATCAATCTGCCAAGAAGAGGAGGAATAAGCGGGGGAGGATTCAAAACCCAAGGTCTGAGCAGAGGGAGGGGGAATCCCAGAACAGGGAAGTGAACAAAGGGGACAACCGAGGAGTTGTGGGGTCTAAATGCCTGGAAGCCACCTGGGAGGAGCCACGTGCGTGACCCCAAAGCCACCTGTGCAGAGGCCGTGGGTTGTCCGGCCCGTGGGAGACGGAGGTGGACACACTACAGCAGCACGTCAGCACAGACTCACGCCAGCAACACGGCTCCCCCGTCGTGACAGGTCATCTCCCGGAGGGGCGAGATCCGCCCCAGCGCGTCGCCAATCGTCCCCTCAGCGCCAAGGGCCGGGCGCCGCTTTTCCAAATGATCCTTTCTAAATAGAACCTGGCCCATTTGATGGGGGGGGGGGCTGCCCACGGCATGGAACCCGGGCACCCTGGCTGCCAGCCCCCTGTGCTGAACTCGGACCCCACCCCCAGGGAACTAGAATCCAGGAGTCGGGACGCCCAGCCCTGTGCTCAGTCCATCCCCCCCGGTCAAGCCTTGTCACGGCCAGGGATCAGCGCAAGCCTAGGCTGCGGGAGAAGGCAAAGATCAGGCACTGACCAGAACCCGCAGTCCTTGAACGGCTGATTACCTGCCTCTTAGGGCTCTCCACAGCCCCCGCCCCACACACAGGCTGTACTAGGGTGAAGCAACCCCAGGAGACCCCTGCAAACCCGGCCGGGATACAGACGAGCCAGAGGCAGCGGGTTACAGTTCCCGCCTGGGGGCTCGTGTGCAGGCTGCTCTTACTAGCAAGTGGCAGACAAGCCACAGCTGAACTGGCAGCAGGAAGGCGGGGGGGAGGGGCGACCCACGGGGGTAATGGCCAGTCCTAGATCCTCAGACCTGAATCCCTCCTAGCCTTAATCAGACCATCTGGAGCACAGGCCAGAGCGTGTCACCCAGTTATCCCCGGACTCAGCCCACACTCCAGCCCCAACAGCATTGGCAGGGGCAACAGTATCCGCCTGTCCTTTCCCATCATGCCTCCTGGCTGCGACCAGCCCGGCTCGCTGACTGTTGCCCCCCCGACTGGCTGCAGCCCCCAGGGGCTTCCTGACTCCCCCCCGGCCGGGACAGAAGCAAAGCTACTCACTGCACCAGATGGGAGGACAGCACCTCTTTGCAGATGGGCTGCTCGGCTAGCGTCAGCCAGAACTCGCAGGCTTCCAAGGCCACGTTCTCATCGTTGTCCTGGGTCCTCTGCAGCATGTACTGCGGGGGAGAGCGGCAGCAGCGTAAAACGCCGGCTCCGGGGCAGGCCTGTGTCACGGCGGCTGCAGGCTCCACGCCCCTTGGTCCACCCACCCGCCGTGCAAAGACAGCCTGGTGCACTCGGCTCTAACACAACCAATCGGCCCCGACACGCGGAAGTGCCGGGAGGTGGACGAGCCAGGCCGATCTCAAGCTACGCAGGCCTCCGAGCTCCCCAAACCCAGGCCAGGCGTGGAGGGAGCAAGCAGCCAAAGGGCAGACTTACCCAGCCTGAGAAAGCGGTTACAGCGCAAGCTGCTTTATTAGCAGGCCTGTGGCGGCCTCTCCCCACTCACGCGGGGGACAGCGCTTCCATGAACCGCCCTGGAGGCAGGTAAGCGCCGCTGTGACCCGTGGTGTCCCCACGCCGCGAGCACGAAAGCCCTGCCAGGACACAGAGGAGCCTGCGGGATCCCAGGACTCACCTGGATGATACTGTGCATGTGAGGGATCAGGCGGTCGATCCGGACCTCCAGCAGCATCACCAGCGCCCGGCAGACGTTCTTCCGAACCTCGGGATCTTCGTCCACCGCCAGCGCGAACAAGTGCTACGGGGAAAGAGGGGTCTGAGACGGACACCAACGGTCCCGAGAGCAGCATTCCCCTTGCTGCCTGCCGTGGCGCGGCAGAGGGGCAGACAGGCCGGGCTTGGTTTTCAAACAGCGCCCCTGCCTCCAGTTACGCTTGGGTGGGGAGGGATTGCGACATCTGCGAAGAGCCGGGGGGAAACCCATGGCACCCGGCTGCTTTGTGCGGCCAGAGGCAGCCCCGTCCTACACGAAGCTACAGAGACTGCTCAGCACAGGCCAGAGGCCCGGGGGGTTAAACGGATGCACAGGAGACACGAGGTGGTGTCTGTATGAAGGAGCCAGATGCCGCTTATGAATATTTGTCTCGTGGTTTCCCTGCTTACGGGATCTCTACCCAGCATGGCAGACAGCGTGGGCACTCTGAAGGAGGAGGGAAGAGACCCACGCTCTGGTGGGGAGGCGTGTGCACATCACTTCTGCGCTGCGACTCAGTTTCCCCAATGTAAAATCTCCTTCATAAAGGGCTTTGAGCTCTGCCATTGACGCGGGCAATAGGCGCTGGGCATTATCTGCACCCTGCAGAGCAGCCGGCGCTTTGGGATCGCTGGAATCGCACCCTCGGGGGAGCCCCACAGCAGAGCACCCACACCAGCAGCAGTGGGCTGGTGTGTCTGACTCGGCCGTGGGTCTGGCCGGGCGGCGAGGGGGACTGAAATGCCTCGTGCCCGGGGGGCCCCTCACCTCGATGAAGGTGTCGATGTTGTCCATCAGCGCCTGAGCTCGGTCCATAATGAACTGGTTCACACAGGCGATGGCATGGGACCTGATGGAGGGGGAGAAAGAGAGAGAATGGGGCTCGGAGGCATGGCGGGTGGTCACCCCAGCACCTCCACAAAATGGGCTTTTAGTGACGCAGACACCAGGAGGTAGCACTGCCCAGCGGACAGATCCGAGTTCTATTCCTAGTTCTGCCACTGGCCAGCTGGGTGATGCTGGGCCAGTCATGTCGCTCCGTGCCTCAGTTTCCCCACCAGTAAAATGGGGATAATGGGACACACACACCCCCCTTTGGTGACCCAAAGATGAGACATGTGAAGTGAGCACCAGGGATTACTGCCGGGACAGTGAGCTTTAGCTTCTGTGCACAAGAGGGTGTATGTCACGGCTCAAACAGCAGCCCTATCTGGGCTCTCAGCTGCTACGTAGGCTGCGCACACAGCAGGCAGGCCCAGCTCAGCCCTTCAGCCTCAGGAGAGGAGGGAGCAAGATTGCATGAGGCTCACCAGGACGGGGTTCTCTTGGGAGAGGCTGCAGAAGCCAGGGTACCCCGCCTAGATACTAAAAAGCAGGAGGTGTTTGCCTTGGCACCTGTGCAGCAGGCCAGTTGGCTATTGCACCCCAAGGCAGCGCAGAGATCGAGAGGACAGATGTGCAGTGGTCGGAGCACTGCCTAGAATTTGCAGGTTTGAGTCCCTGCTCTGCCACCTCCTCCTTGTGAGACCTTGGGCAAATCCTTTAGCTTCCGTGCCTCAGTTTCCCATCCCCCTTGTTAACCGGGGGAGGGGTTGAGAGGATACATTCAAGATGGTGAACGCTCAAGTATTGTTGTGCAGGGAGCCAGACCAGTATGATCAATCCGACAGGAGAGACACAACTGACATCTCATCCTGAACAACAGGCAGCGTGTCGCCGGGGAGAAGGATTGCTGCTGTGACGGGCAACTCGTGCAGAAATTTTCCCGGCTCCCCCTGGGTCAGCTCTTGAACACACACAGCTTCCTGCTCAGCACAAGGCCGTGCGGGCTGTGCATCGCGAGACAGCGGGGGGGAGAGGGTGTTTCACCCAGCCTGCACCAAGCGCTCAGGCGAAGAGAGCAGGGCCCGGCCCCCCCGCACAGCCTGGCAAGACAACACTCACCTGATCTTGGGGCTGCAGTGCTTGAAGAACTGAAGGAACTTAGGGATCATGATGTTCAGGGGTCGATTCAGAGCATCACTGTCCAGGAGCTCGGAGGAATCCTCACAGATCTTCTGCAAGGCCCCGAAGGCCCCCTAAACACAACACCCGCGTCAGGGGCCACAACGGACAAGGGTTCAGTACGGCCTCGTGAGCGCAGCTCCGGATTATCGGGGCTCCCTCGACCCCACGAATCCTTTGCAACCCGCCCTCCAAACCTCAACCAATCCCTACAAAAGCAGCTGGCGAAGGGCCCAGCTAACCTGAGGGCTCTTACAAGAACCCGGATCTTCAGGTGGCGTGAGGCGGCACCGGCTGGAGCCTGGCGCTCTGCAGCCCCCAGCCCCATGTCTGAGATCAGGCAAGTCACAGCTCCTCAGTTTGCCCGCCTGAAAAATCCAGGACCCTGACCGCCGCCCCAAGTGTAACGGCACGTCTCAAGCTGGGAGGCGCGGGTTTGGGCTGGGAAGAACTAGCCCAGCAGAGAGACCGCTCCACAGAGAGGCCGTGATTGGCACCCAGCTAGCCCCACGACACAGCGCTGGCAGCGGGTTCCAGAGCAAAGGGGAAGATCTGTGTTTGCAGGGTGCTCGAGAGCTTTGTATGGCCACACACGGGTGAAGTCTAAACTCAGCCCATGAGTGTTTACAAAGAAGGGATGGAAAACAGCCTGGCTGCTTGTGTACGTCAGTTACATTCCCAGACCCAGTGTCTTAAACAAGCGCCAAGCGCAATGGCTGCTGGTAGTTACTGCGGTAACCATGGCTACGTAGAAAGCACCATCATACAACAGCGGACATCCCTGGACTAGGACTCCTGAGACCTGATGTTAGCCCCAACTCTCTCACTGACCTGCTGTGTCACCTGGAGTGTCCCCCTCCGTTCCTCAGTTTCCCCCACTCTATTTAGATAGCAAATTCCTTGCAACAGGCATCTCCCCTAGCTTCCGATGGGAAAGGAATGGGGTGTATCTGCCACCAGACAGCGCTCAAGAGGATCTGCCAAGATGGGGCCTTATCTCCATCTCTGCTTGGTTCAAAAGGCAAACACGGCCACTTCCATGCTATTAAACAAGTCCAGCTGCTCTTCACCTGAGGAGTTCTACCTGCACTCCGCTCCCAAAACAAGCCACCTGCCTTGTCTGCCAGTGATGCTGGTGAGACAGAAGATGCTTCGGGGGAGCTGTCAGCTGTGGGGGCACCATGGGGACCTCTAGGTCTAAAAACATGAGCATCTACTAACTGGGCAAGAAGCCCCAGGTGTGTTCGCTCCAGGGCTGAAAAGACTCATAAACCAGGAACTCTGGTTCAATCTGACGGCTGGAGAACCAAACTCCACAAGCGTGGGGTCACATTAGAAATGCAGGTTCGTTCGACAGCAGGGAAACTGAGGCACAGTTACTCCGGAAACCTGGACTGAGCTGTGGCAACGCAGTTCGCTGCAGGGCCACCCATCTGGGCTGGCTGGGCACCAGCGACAGAATTTGCCTTCTCCACGCCCACGCTGACTGAGACCCTGCCCTCATCCCGCAGCCTCCCCTCCCGCCCCCCGGCGCCGTGCTTTACCTCACACGTGTTGTAGTCCTCCGAGTTCAGCAAGTTGCACAGCTGCGGCAGGAGCTCCGGCCACATCTGCAGCTCCCCCTTGGAAGCGATGGGCGGAATGAGAATCCCTGCC